CGGCCAAGTCTCTAAACAACTAAACTGACCGTATTAAATAATTCATTTGACTTAAACAAAGAAGGTAAAACGGATCGCCACAGATCTGTCAAGCACATTATAGCATTAGATCCGGGTCATTTAAAACAAATAACTATAAATCCCGTAAACTTAGAATGCTAACTTAATGAAATAATCTGTCTTTAATAGACAACATTATACCATTCTTAAGTTACAAGACTTTTTTTAAGTGAGCCGGATTCAATGCTCTTGAGTGTAGTAAGTCTAGTCAATTTTATTTCACCTTTGACTATTTACAGCACTTACTTGACTAGTATTTGACCTCTTGAAGGTATTCTGAGTAATAGTCAATGACCTACATTAGGTCAAGATTTCATAATGAGGCGTTAATGTTTATTTGACAATAATTATATTGACCCTTTTTGTATTACGAAATCTTGTATCTATTAATTATAATACATTAAAAATTTTAATATTAGGTTTAATTCTTATAATATAGAGATTAAAATGTTTAACAATACTTTGATTTCTTTATTATAAATATACGTTTTTATACAAACTTTAAGAGCGTCGGTGGCTCAGTGGTTTAAGCACTTGACTTGTAATCTACAGGTCTTGGGTTCGAATCCCACCGTACCAATGTGATTTTCGAATTTCATATGTACATAATTTACCCGACATTCTTACGGTGAAGGAAATCATAGTGATGCCTGCACATATCGGCGAAGAAATTCTAAGATATGTGTGAAGTCAACCCGCACTGGGCTATCGTGGTTGACTATGGCAGTCACTCCTTATTCAGGGTAGGCTCTGAGCTCCTCAGTGGGGAAGTATAGTGAGCTGGTGATGATGATATACAAACTGAATATATACATCGCCCAAATGTTCACACCTTTGATGAATATCAGTGCAAATGCCAAGTTAAAAAATTAAACTTGTTAATAACACAATAATCTTCATTATAGCTGACTAGCTGTTGCCCGCGACTTCGTCCGCGTGGTATTAGAAAACATACGAACTATTTAAATAACAAAAAGCTACGTATCCCTCGTGAACTGGACATTTCTCGAGGATGAACCTTATCCAATGTTTATTCCAGACTTTGTTTTATATCTGTGCCAAATTTCAATGAGATATGTTGAACCGTTGCAGAATGATCGAGTAAACATTAAAAAACTAAATTAATAAATCCCACGGGAACCGTAACTATTCCCGGGATAAAAAGTAGCCTATGTGTTCTTCCAGACTATGCTCTATATCTGTGCCAAATTTCATGGAGATCCGTTCAGCCGTTTAGGCTAAATACGCTAACATCCATCCATCCATCTAAACTTTCGCATTTATAATATTAGTAAGATTAAAGTTTAGATCAAGCTTTTATACTGTCAAAGTAATACAAAAATACAGTCTAGTATGTTACATTGTCAAGGACAAATTGAGTTGCGTGTACAGTCAGGTATGTTGGCGGTGGTCTCTTCTACATTGTATGGTTTGAATTACATGTAGACGATAGAAGTCAGGTAAATATTTTACAGCAGCTTAAAATATTCCAGGTAATAAAAATGTATAAAACATCGATATTAGTTAGGTATAATTCTAATGGAGAGATGTAACACACTGGTACACTGCCAACGAAGATGACTGTACATAAAAAAATCTTAAGCGACTAACTTGAATTACTCGTTTCGTGATGTATACTGAGTGGTATTTATTTAACCATCGACTTAGTATCGATATGATATTTTTTAGACTGAAAGGTAGTAAACGTGCTTGCATTAACTTGATTACTTTAAAGTAGTTAGCGTCGCCTTATCATAGCGTATTTTGAAAGGGTTTTCAAATTTTTACTTATAGAATTCATGATAAGCTAATGGATTCTGGTATATAAAATAAGTTATTTTTACCGCTGTTCATTTGGTTTTATAAAGGTTTGGTTTTTTAAACTCGTTGTTGCTTGCTACTTCATCACTGAGCTTTTTATTGGTAAAATAAATTTTGCAATCGGCCCACTTGTTTTTGAGTTAATTCGATAAATACAAAAATCCAATTATTTCCTCTCTATAATATTAAATAACTTGCTTACGCCCGCGATTCCGTTGGCTTGGAATTTAAAATAAAACAACAAAAAATGTAGCTTTTGTTACTCACAGAAAAATTACATATTTAGAAATGTAATTTTTATAACCGTCCCAGTAGTTTCTGAGCCTAATTATTACAATCAAACAAACAAAGTTTTCCTTTTTATAATATTATAGTATAGATAAAGTAAGTAATCTATCTAATACCAAAGGATTTTTAGAGCTACTTATCAAAATGAATATAACACTACAGGCACTTAATTGTTAGTTAAGTTTACTAAGAGTTTTCTATATAAAAATTTTAGAGAATATCGTTTTTCAAATCAAAGCCCCTTAAGTAATACAAAGAATTCGACAGACACTCTTAAATTTTCCAAAACCCCGAGTGCGGTCCTCGATTTATACCGATACCTTACCCTCGTCAATGTTAAACATAAATCAGTTACAACATAATGAATTATTTATTCCAAATTGATTTCTCTATACTTTTTTACGGATCTAATAAACAAAATTTAATTTAGACAACAACGGTACTAAACGTTCTTCTTTCTGTTACACGTTCTCGAAGATCGTCAGAGGGTGTCCACAGCGCCAGCAGCTCGTACTATCCAGGTCTCTGCTTTTGTCTTGGACCTTGACAAATTAGGTTCCTTCATGCCGGCCATCACTGAAATCCGCCAAGTTTGTTTAGGATCATCACGCTCTTTTGTTCCCAGTGGGATACACTTCAGGACCTCCCTAAGAATGTAACTGGGAATATTTGTTCTTTGGATGTTACCAAACATTACTTATAAATAAATCTATGTCTAATGACAAGTCTTTGATTCAGATACGACTAACAATTATGGTCTCTTAAATTGCAATAATAATGAAACAAGTGTGAAGTTGTCTGCAGTAGGTCAACGTCTCAACCACGTAAGGCGTTCATACTTAACTTAGGCACAATTCCCTCTCGATGGATTGGAGCTGTCGACAAAAAGTAATATAAAATTTACTCATCGGTATGATAAATCATTAATTAACCGTCATCATATTTTATCATACTTTTCACGCAATCAACACTCGAATCAACTGAAAATCTATTCATTACCATTTCTGTTCAACAAATTCGCAATTCCTAGTATTTGCATAGTTTATTTCCAGTAATTGTAGGTGCTCGACATATCTTTGCAATAAATATCGGCGGGTACACAATGGCTTGCCCCTTTTCCTTTTACTATCGGTTGTTTGTATCTGTACGCATGATTCATTCGAAAGTACTGTTTACTTCTAAGTGTATGACAATTCTATGATTAATTTTGAATTTTAAGTATAGCTCTCTTTAAAGATGTACTCGTTTAAAAAGATACGAAGTAATATTTATGTAAATTTCTGTCAAAATGCCTACTAAAGAAAAATAGCAATATTTTGAATTGAATTGACAACGTTTTTTTTGTGTAGGCGCTATATAATCTCATTTGTTTCACAGTAAATTTGGCAAACACATTTACTACTCATAATTTGCAGGAATCTTACAACGTGGCTGGAAACCGAGCGTAACATTTGCGACTCAACATTAGCACTTAATCAGTAAACAGTGTGCGAAGTAAAATTTTATTTGCATTTACTTTCTTACGGTTGTTGACATTTTTATAGAAGTCGGCAAAAAAGCAAGCTGTTAACATGATGTTAAATCAATACCTAGAAGATAATGAGGACGAATTTTTATTTTATAGCGGTCGGGACTTCGTTAGCGAATAAAAATATACTACAACATTTTTACTTCTATCAGCTACTTTCCCCTCAAGGATCTGTCAAAATGAATCCAACCATTTCAGTGATTTGCCAGAACAAACACAACTTTGAGGACTGAGAGACAGGTGAAATTTAAGATGAAAAAAAGATCAGATGAAAGTACATCACATTCACGAAATAGTTATATTTTTTTAAGTTACACGTAATATAACGGGTTCGGTACGTCTTTTTAACTATAAAGCTATGATGCAGCTAGAGTCTTGTCTCTATATCTATGAGTTATTATTGCTTTTTCAGTATTTTCATTCATAAAGAAACAGATGGAAGTATGTTATTGTCGCTGTTTCTGCAGTGGAAACAGAAATCTTACTACAAACAAAATTATGCCGTTACTCCGATCTTGTGAGACAAGTTCGATATTTAAAACTCGTTACGATATTAAACGCCGAAATTAATTTTTATATGCCAGCTTTAGTATGTGCATGTGTTTCTTTACATATATCAGTGAAAATGTAAATAAAAACTTTAAAAAGTGGGAGTAGTAACCTCTCCAATTGGTACGCCAAAGATCGCTCGTATTTTTAAATTAATTTTAATTTATTACAATACTAGCTTTTGCTCGTGACTCCCTCCTCGTGGAAATAAAAAAAAGTGGATAGCCTATATATTCTTCCAGAGTATGCTCTACATCTATGCCAAATTGCATCAAGATCCATTCAACAGTTTGGGCTAACTCTAACAAACTTACATCCATCCAACCAACCACTTATCCATAGTTAAGTAAGTTTTTGGAAGCTCAAATACTGATCAAACGAGTTTAGCAAAAAGAATCAATGCTTTTATTTTTTTAATACTTATATAACCTTCAATATGTACACTGGATGCATCCGAAGCAAGTTCAATGATCGTGGTAATAAGGGAGAACAAGTTTGCGAGTAAACAAAATAAAGGCATGTTTACACTGTTATACACTTGAATATTTCTGTAAAAGACCGACAGTTAAGGGCTTATAAAATTAATAGATGCATCATTTACTCATTAGGATGTATAAACCATAATGATGGATTAGAAATTCGCTTGATTTTGATATATTATTCAAATATAAAGGGAAATAACTTTAAGATCAAGTTGGCATCAATACTTACCCATCTTCATATTCTACTTCAGAGGTGTTCAAATAAAAATGAGTTTCATATTTTTGTAGTTTTATAATTTAAATTAAATTTACATCCAATCGTACATTTATTTTCTACATTTTGAGACCTTTTTCTTAATAATAATCTTAGAATAACGATCACATTCACACCAATATTACAACAGTTCGTTCTTGTTCACGCTTGACTGTTTCCAAGACCCATGTTCATGGCATTTAATAGTTCACCATTGTCTGCGTCGATCTCCCACGCGAATAAACCACCAAGCTTATTTTTTCTAACATACTTGCCTTTCTCAATAGTCGATCGTGCATTATCATACGTTATTAAGTCACCAGTCGATGGCCTGAACACGTAAGGAGCCTCAGCAACATTATCGTAATGGAATTCCCATTTACCCAAAGCAATCTCATGTGCTATTGCTCTATAGTCAACTACACCGTCTTGCCAAGTACCTTTGACTGGTCCAGTCGCGTTGCCAGTGAATGGATTGTTGTCTTCGTAATTATGAACACCAGTCCAGCCGCGTCCGTACATAGCTACGCCCACCACAATCTTCTTAGGGTTCACGCCTTGAGCAAGCAAATATTTCACACCAAAGTCAGTGGTATAAGTTTCCTTAGGGTTCCAAGCGGGTGCGTAAAGTGGAGTCTGATGACCGAGGGTGTCGTTAGACCAGGCGCCTTTAAAATCATAACTCATAAGGAAGATATGGTCCATATACTTTTGAGCTTCACTGTAATCGACAACTTGGATCTTATCCCATCCAGCACTGATAGCGGAGGTCAGCTCGTATTTCTTACCGGTCTCTTCAGAAAGGTCGTTCAACATTTCACGCAATTCCTTCATTAATTCAACGTAAACATCTCCGTCTTTCGGGCTACCGAGGTCGGGGTTAGCTCCCTTACCTCCAGGGAATTCCCAATCGATGTCAACACCATCGAAGAACTTCCAGGTCAAGAGGAAATCTTTTACAGAATCAACGAAGCGATCTCTCTTCTCCTTGTCGGTGAAGAAGAAGAAGGGATCGGCTAGTGTCCAACCACCGATGGAAGGTAGGATCTTAAGTTCAGGCCTGGCTTGTTTGAGAGACATCAGCTGGCCAAAGTTGCCTTTGTAAGGTTCGTTCCAGGAAGACAATCCCTTCTGTGGTTTCTGAAGAGCGGCCCAAGGATCGTGAATAGATACTTTGAAATCTTCTCGGCCGCTGCACGATCTCTGAAGAGCTTGGAAACTGCCTTCGATCTCTTTTAAGCTGTCGTTGATGCCATCTCCACCGCAAATTGGAATGAAGCCGTATAGTAAATGAGTCAGGTTAGGAATTGGAACACGATCGACTGGGAATTTTCTCGGGTACACACCCCATTCTACGAAGTATGCTCCAACAACTTTTCCAGAAGTCTGTTTGAATAGTTTGTTCTTTTCTCCGAGAGTGTACATCAAGGGAGGTAAATGACTGCCGTCAGTATCAGCTACGATGATCTCAGTAGGCTCACTGGAGGAGCATCCATCAGAATTGCAGAGTTCAACTTGCATCTGATATCTGCCACCTTTTGTCACTTTGAATGTAGCTGTCGTCGCTGCCCCTGATGCTCCTGACCAATATTCATCGCCATCCAGTAGGACCCTGGCGGTATCTGCTGGATCTCCAGACCACACGTTCCATGTAACAGTAACATCAGCACCATCTTTCCTGGTAACCAGCTGATTGTAAGCAGTCGCCGCTTGATTGACTTCAACTATCGCGAAGGTTCGTTCGCCCCAGCCTAGGGATGGCTTTCCAGGTGGGCCACATTTGGCAAAAGCGAGTAAGCTAACTCCGAGGAGTAGCTTCAGCATATGATGCCTCATGGCCGTTTCTAAAATAAAAATAATTTAAATTAAATACTAAACGCGGACTTCGACTGGAGCGGTGATACAAAACTGAACTTGCATGTGCGAGGTATCTTTTATATATCGCGGGTATAGTAGGCCAACCGCTAGCGGTGGAGCCAGCGCCGTCACACGGAATGTCGATACTGGAGTGATTTTAAGACTCGAAATAAAAAAATCATTAGCACAGTTTTTTTATCCCGGTTAAGTTATGAAAGCGGTCAAGGCGACAGATGGTGTGTTTAATTGTTTTACCTAATGTTGTTATTTGGTGTGTTTTAGCGCGACACTAATTGGCCGTGTCCGTTACTAACCTATGAATCACAAGTCCAGTATTATCTTTGAGATAAGAGGCTACGTAAACTGCGGATAGAGGCAATGTTAAAATTTCACATTCTCGTGTTAACTTTTTTAAAATTTACTAAACATTTTTACACAAGTTGAAACTATAATTCAATCATTAGAGTTAAACTGCACTATTTTTTGTAAGCTTAGCGCGTTAGGATGCCGTACTTGAACTAACCAGACTATCTGTCAACCAAACACAGTTCTTTAAACTACTTTATCACGGGAATTACAATCGCCCTTTGTTTTCATTAATCCGTCTCATCCTTTAGTAGGTTTACTTATACATGACTAAAATAATAGTCTATTTACTAGATTACGAAGCAAATAATCATCGTGCAATAGAAATCTAATGACGAATAAATCGATTAATAATCGGCATTCCCATACTTTTATTATAAACAATGGTTTTAATCATAGATAGATCACCAGATACTGTCAGTTATTCTTTCCGTCTACGATGAAAAATTAATACATTGGTCATAACCTTACTCTTGTACCTACGAAGTATCGACACAGTATGTAAGATTCCAGACGTCTCTATCAGACGTCTTATCTATTACAACTTTACGCATAGATTTGGGGGAAAGATTTCACACGACCCATCCATATTTTCCTTACTTCCTCTACCTTTGTTGCATAGAGAAATTGGTACTAAGCACGTATTTCTCCTTGAGACAAACCTCGATAAAGAGGCAAAATCATTGGCTAAAAGTCTCTCTATAAAACGATAGCTATTTCTACAATATTTTGTAACACAAGCTTGATTAAATATTGAATTTTTTCCGCGACTTCGTCCAAGCGGAATTAAACAAAACGCCTGTGCGTTCCAGACTTTGTTAACATCTGTACCAAATTTCATCGATATCCGTTCAAGCGTTTTCGAGATATTTAATAACAAACATGTATATTTGTTATTAAATATCTACAAACTCTAACAAAAGTACAGATGTATCTGTACTTTCTTTTTTATAATATTAATACAAAAATTAGACTAGCTGTCGCCTGCTACTTCGTCTACTTGAAATTTAAAATAAACCCAATTTGTAATCGTAATCTATGCGTTATTTGAAGGCATAATCAGTTTTAGTTCCAAACTCCCAGATTCCGCCACCATCAATTCATTCATTAGTTAACTCTAAGATTACAATTCGTTCTTTATATTTACACTCTTAAGTATTTATACGTGAGTAGTACATACGAATAGTGTGAAGTACAAACATATTTGGTTTCCAGACCGACCGGTTACTGGGTTCGATGCACCGTCATTATGTACATGGGGTTGACGCACTCGCAAAGGGTATTATGGGATTCAATTTAATATACTAAATAATTACATTTATTGGATAATAAGAAGTTAATTAAAACTACCCAAATATTCAGGTGTTCAAAATTTAATTTCAGCAATCCAAAAGTAAGAACCTTTTCGAAAGCAGTTATTTATTTCTTATATATCTGCGTGGAATCAAAAAATAAATAAAAGTTAGTAGCCTATGTGTATCAGACTATCGTCTACATCTGTGTCAAATTTCATCGAGATTCGTTCAGCCATTTAGGCTACAAACTCTAACAAAAATCCAACCAAACTTTCGCGTTTATATTAATAAGATAACCACTATGTCATTGAGAACGATTGGCAGTACTAGATGCATCTAGATTCTAGAATATTTAGGGTACACCTTGACACACTAAGGTTATGTTGGTTTGTGTACACATAATTGATAGGGGCGGGTTTTACATGGATTCTTTTATAATGGAACTGTTGACTAGTTATATAACATAAAAATAATTAGCCTATTAACTATATAAAAATATTGTTGGTACATACATATGTCCGGTTACTGATACAATTAGGTATAGGCCTACATCAATAATCATACTAATATTATAAATGCCAAGTTTATATGGATGGATGGATGTTTTATAGAGTTTGTAGCCTAAACGACTGAAGGGATTTCGATGAAAAATCGAATAACACATAGGCTACTCACTTTTGTTATTTTAATACCATGCGGACGAAGTCACTGACGAAAGCTAGTAGGAAATAAAGCCTGAAAATCGTTGCTACGTAAATTACTTTGTTGTTTAATAAATATGAACATTTTTACAATCAATAAAAATATTCAAAATCTAAATAAAATTCTTCACATAATTAAAAACAACGTGAAAGAATACTTGATCTTTAAGAACAACGACATCTAGTGATATTTACCGAAACTATCATTTGAATCATATAAGTCCTTAGCGGAAGTTCAAAGTTTGCGTAGTTGCAATACTAATATTATAAAGAGGAAAGATTTGTATTTTTGTATGCATTGAAATAACTCAATAACTACTGGGCCGATTTTAAAAATTCTTTCACCGTTAGAAAGGTAATTGTTCAAGGAGTTTATACACGTTTTTAGAGTCAAGCCATTAGAAAAGAAGATGAAATTAAATTATTTAAAATTAGAACACATTGTCGACGTCATCACTTTTTCCTAGTCTTTTTCTGAACATATTTTATCAATACACATGTCTCCGTTAAAAATAGTTTTATTTCTAAATCTTTTACGATATACAGTAATTTATCTGTGAGTAACATTGATTTTGTAATATAACGCGTGCGAAGTCGCGAGCAACAGTTAGAGTATTGATTCATCGATTTTCTGCTAAAATCCACAGATAAGATTATTATTTATCGCAATTACGGAACATGAAGGAAATGTATCATTTATGTTTCACTGTTTTGTATGATTTATTTGTTAACATATGTGTCAATATAATTGTGTAATCCTTTGTTCGGTTACGTTTATCAGTTAGTGTAGACGGCTGATAAGACGCAAGACAGACCCGGGCTGTGAGCAGAATAGTTTTGTTAACGCAAACAAAATTGACCCTTATGTAATTGAGATAAGGTGTAATTTACTACGAACTTTTCATCTTAAGAAGAGCAAGCATAAGACGTGTTAAACGAAATTCACACTTATGTCAATGCCATAAACCTCAATTTCATTAGCGATAAAAATCTGCTCTATTCCACGCTTCATTCTGTGAATACCTTAGAGTCCAAAGGGTTAAAATTTTAACTGTCAGTTAAACTGTACAGTTAAAGCTTTGTTTACAAATAAACATTTTTCACCGTATAGTTAGACTCTTCTGTTAAAACTGTCAGAACTTAATATTTGCATAAATGGGTATTAAACATAAGTTTCAGTAAAAATTACTCGTTTTTTACTTTAATCGTTAACACGGTACTTGTATACGAATGTAAATTTTATCTCAAACACATATACAAAATGCTTATATCTTACGCTTCACTTTAAACAAATAAAACGGTACATTTTTATGTGTTTTAATTAATGCTTCATACATTTAGTACAACTATCATACAAATAAAAGCGAAAGTTTGGATGTATGGATGTTACCGTATCTCTAGAATGCTGCACTCATTTAGCACAGAGGTAGAAGATAGTCTGAACTATATTATTGTAGTTGAACTATAGTGTTAAGATTGAATAGATGGCTACAAAGGTGGAGGAAGACCGAAGAATGTATAAATGGATTGTGTGAAAGAGGATATGCTTAATAAAGGAGTGGATTCAGATATGATAGAGTATGGAAGAGCAGTACATACTGTGCCGACCCTCGGTAGGGTAAGGACAAGTTGATGATGTAGTCTGAAAGAGGAAATAGACTAATTAGTTTTTTTTCATTCCTCACAAAGTCGCGGGCAAAGCTAGTATATAGATATTTACAGTTATTACCCAAACTGGTAGAGATTTACGTCGGACAGACTAATAGTACTGCAATGCAACTTTAACGTAATCCAATTGTCCGGTCGAAGCTGGACTCAATGGTCCAGAAATGCTATATTATACGTATTATTAACAATACGACTGGGAATTTAGACTCGCTATATACTTACTAGCTTTCGCGTGCTAGTATTTCGTGGAATAAAAAAAGGAAGTAGCCTATGTGTTCTTCCAGACTATACATCTATGCCAAATTTCGAGACATGTTCAGCAGTTTCGGCACTCTAACAAACATCCATCCAAACCCAAAAAATGTACCCAGAATTAATAATTATTACGGCGACAGAACAATGAGAAAACGTTTACCATACATGCTCAATAACTTACCACCTTAAATAGCAAATCTAAATTTAAAATTTTTTAAACTATTTGTTAAACGTTTGGAAAGCCATCTTTTTGATAATAGCCCTTGAATAGAATATTTTATTTATATACAGTATATTATGTATGTATTTTATATAATGTTACACAAAAAAAAACATGTCATAAAAATATCCGACACAACTACGACACTCTACATATGTTATATTGTAAATTGTAACCAGCGCACCCGCGGACAAACCAATTATATGGTTTTTGCGGGGCCATATTTGTGCAATTTTTTTTTTATTTTTTTTATATAATATTTTATAATTATTTTATAATAATCATATAGATTTGATTAAGAATTCAAATAAGTTATGAATAGTACCAGACTTAATCCACACTTGTTTTAGATAACAGTACTGATGACAACGTAACTTAACAGAAAAACTTAGTGAGTACCCTACGTGTAACCTATGTCTGCTTTCAGACTTTATAAATTTCTGCCCAAATTTCAGTGAGAGTCGTGCCGTTCAGGAGGTCCA